CCCAGCTCAAGAATAGAAACATAAAATGTTTTAATTCTAAAATGTTCTACAAAATATATGATGATTTTTCTTTAGAAAGTATGTCCTCTTCTGAATGTTCCCTGCTGTCTAAACAGGATTGGGTCGTAAGAAGTAGTCATGGGACTATAGACGCTTCCTCTGAAGGCACCCTCAATCCTAAAAGACCTAAAGAGAGAAAGTGGTAGCAATGCATCAGACAGACACAGCCCTGATGCTTGTGACTGAAGTTCATTCCATCTTCCCCACAGGGTGTTCAGGCAAAAAGCCTGGGTATTTTCCAGGTGGGCATGTTCCTCCTGTGCTGGGTATTTTCTAACATAGTGTCGTTCAGTCTGATGTGATGCTGAGAATGTAGCAATTACACCAGAATATAGAAGAGGAAAAGCCATCACCTTAATACCATTTACTTTACTTTTGATTCAGGCAGTGCAGTAATTCTGAAAGTCTCTGAGCAGAGCAGGCAGCTTCCAGGGTGATGGTATTTGGTGACTACAAGAAAGACCTCCCCCACAGACATGCATTTTAGTCATGCTGAGAGGGAGGGCATGTAAGGTAGTGCATACTGTCTCAAATTAATATTCTACATGCTGTTAATATCTTGGAACAAAAGAGTTTATCCAGTTACTTATTATGAGAACAGGCCTTTAGGACAAAGGTGGGACCCAAGATAGATAAGTTCTGGTAAACGTAAAGAGCAAAGCCCAAAACCACATGGAGAAAGGAGACACTATATTGAGGACCCCAGGTAAACATGCCCAGAGTGCGAGTCTCAAAGCCAATGGGAAGGTGCCAAGACCCAGCCTGCGTGCTTTACACACATGCCCTGAAATTGCCCAGATGCTATGGCCTCTATTGGGAGGGAGACTTCTCTTTATGATAAGCACAGTTGGCAATTTTTAACTGTTTATAAAAATATGTTCTACATGTAAACCATGCTTAACTAGAAAGTAAACTACGCAACTTCAAAAAAGAATAACCATTTGGTTCACAAAATCCCAATGTATGGCCCAACAGAGTAAACACTAGAATATATAGCTAATATCAACAGAGGTGAACTCTAAAATCATTTGCAACGCTCTAACTATTATTGTCATTCTAAAATACTCTACCCTGCTGTAGTTAAAGCTTCAAATTAAATGAAATAAATGTGCCTTTTTGCTATAGAATTTGCATTTAAGTACTGCCTAATTTCTGTTAATGTTTAAATAAGTATATAAGTTTATAATAACAGTTCCAAGAAGAATTACCTATTTTCTCATACAGGAATTTGGACTATTCATGATCATTACTGAGCAGGTTTAAAAAAATATATTTAAGCATTGCTCACATGATCAGGTTAAACACATACTGCAAAAAAAATTTTAGTTTGGAATAAAGTGTTAATCATAATTTCATATGGAAAAATGCCACTAATAATCAATACAGTAATCCCCCCTTATCTGTGGGAGATAACATTTCAAGACCCCCAGTGGATGCCTGAAACTGAAGATAGCATTGAACTCTCTATATATTATGCTTTTCCTATACATAAACACCTATAATAAAGTTTCATTTATAAATTGGGCAATTTCATGGATAGAGTATTTGTTCTTACTATACATTTTAGCAACCTCAGCATATGATTTTTTTATTTCCTTATTGAGAACTTTCACCTTTTCACTTAAAAGAAGTACTTTATAGCTTTTCCTTGGCATACCCAAATTGCCAGCATCACTACTCTTGCACTTTGGGACCATTAAATAAAATAAGGGTTACGTGAACACAAGCTCTGAAATACTGTAATAGTGAATCTGATAACTGAGAGGGCCACTAAGGGGCTGGTAGCCTACACAGCATGGAAATGCTGGACAAAGGGGTGATTCATGTACCAGGAGGGATGGAGCAGGACAGCATGGGATTTCAGCACGCTACTGAGGTGTGCAATTTAAAACTTTCAAATTGTTTATTTTTGGATTTTTTATTTAATAATTTGGAAGGCAGTTTACCATGGGTAATTAAAACTGTAGAAAAAAAATCTGTAGATAAGGGAGCACTACTGCATGTGTCTGTAGAGGTACCTTTTACGTCACTACAATTCCTGTTCAATTCAAAACAAGAAATGTATATTGAGATTTACTATGGACAAGAAAGACATTGTTCTAGGAATTGTAGAAACTGTAGAGACGGGAACACATTAGCTTTACTCATCATGTGTAGAATCTTAACAGATGATAAAACAAATATATAAACAACCAGAATATAAGCTAAAAAATTCAAATCCATAAAAATGGTGGGATCCAGATACCTGGTATCTTTAGTACACATATCTTATTTTGAAGTAAAAAAACAAAGCGGGAACAAATACAATATTTGTATTTGCATGTGACCCGCAGGCTGTAGTTTGAGGACCCCTGGTTCAGACATAAACTCACATATTTACTAGAGGCCCAGTGCATGACACTCATGCACTGGGGGTGGAGGGTGTTCTTCAGCCCACCTTGCACCCTCTCGCAGTCTGGGACTCCTTGGGGGGTGTCCACCTGCTGGCTTAGGTCCACTCCTTAGTGCTGCCTTGAAGGCGGGAGAGGCCACAAAAATGTGGTGATATATCTATGAAATGGAATATTACTCAGCCATAAAAAATGATATTTTAGCATCTGCAACAACATGGATGGACCTAGAGAATATTATGTGAAATAAATCAGAGAAAGACAATTACCATATGGTTTCACTTATATGTGGAATCTAAAGAACAATATAAATGAACAAACAAAACAGAAACAGACTCATAGATACAGAGAACAGACTGATGGTTGCCAGAAGTGGAGTGGTTTGGTGGACTAAGTAAAAACGTTCTCATTACAAGAAAAATACATTTTTGCAGCTATATATGTTGATGGGTGTCAACTGAATATCTTATGAGATCATTTTGCAATATATACACATATCAAATCATTATATTGTACTAGAGGCCTGGTGCATGGATTTGTGCACCGGTGGGGTCCCTCAGACTGGTCTGCACCCTCTCACAACCTAGGACCCCTCGGGGGAAAGGGGATATAGCAGTGCCAAAGCGGCAGGAGACCAGGGAGGAGCCTCAGCCAGGGCCGGGCTCAGCTCCACTGCTGCTCATCCCCGCCCCGCTGCACCTGCCACTGCTACTGCTTGGTAGCACTGCTGCGGCAATAGAAGAGGCTCCCGCTGCCACAGCTGCGCTCACCAGCCATGAGCCCCTTCTGGCTGAGCGGTGCTCCCACTGTGGGAGCACACTGACCACCAGGGGGCAGCTCCTGCATTGAGCTTCTGCCCCCTGGTGGTCAGTGCACGTCATAGCAGCTGGTCATTCCAGTCGTTCAGTCATAAAGGTTGCTTAGGCTTTTATATATATAGATATCTGAAACTAATACAATGTTATGTATTAGGGGTTGAGAAGTACAGATTGGTAGTTACTAAATAGTCATAGCGATATAAAGTATAGCATAAAGTACAGTCAATAATGCTGTAATAACTATGTATGGTGCCAGGTATTGGAAATATCAGGGGGAACACTTTACAAAGTATATGATTGTCTAACCACTATGCTGTACACCTGAATATAATACAATATTCCATGTAAACTGTAACTGAAAACAAAACAAAAAAATTTTTCTGTACCTAATGACACGATCATATAGTTTTTCCCCTTAAATTTGTTATGATGGGTTATATTGATAAGATTTCCTATTATTGAAGCACCTAAAAAGAAATCCTGCTTGATTACATTACTGGATTAAATGTCATTGTTTGGAATCATGTGTCTATATTCATAAAACTTGGAAATGTTTATAGTCATAAATGAGACTGGTCTACAGTTTCCGGGTTGTTTTTAAATTGCCTTTATTAAATTTAAATTTGATTAGTTATCTATATATATTTGACTCTTGTTTATTAGAAGAATACATTCCTCTGGGCTCTAAAAGAATGTTTCTTCATTTACGTATTATTACAGTAAATAGATTTGGTGAATATTTCTAACATATTTCTTAATAAGTAAATGATAAAGCCATTTTCTATCTTTTCACTGATTCCTGTATTCCCTTGTGTTAGGCTTTCCATTGCCCATCTCATTTTCAGCCACCTAAGCCAAATAATAACTTCTACAAGACACATCTACATTTTCCCTCATGACCACGTATCCAATCCCACACAATCTAATCCTATTACTCCCTGATTTCTGTAGACTCAGGATCGCGTCTGGTCACTTACAGATCATAACTCTAACTGCTCTAAGACTGAGTTGTACAGTGAAACATGTTCCTAAAATCCTTCCCCTAAAAATCCTTATATTATCCTTGGCAAGAGTATTATTGATGGGAAGTCTTTGATGAAATGTTGAAATAAGCACACAGAACTTGGTATGTGTAAGCCTCTTTGCCAAGTATTCTCCGAATCATCTGAGTAATAAATTGTAGCAATAATGCAGAGAAAGGATTTAGAGCTATGTAAACCAGCAAGAGAAAAAAGTAATACAAGATTTTCCAGTTTTCTCCTTTGTTCTCGAAAAGGAACAAGAAGACAGAGGTATTAAGTCAAATACAGTTGACCCTTGAAAAACATGGGCGTGAACTCTGTGGGTTCACTTAAATGCTGATTGTTTTTCATTAAGTACCTGCACTGTTTTTTGTCTATGGTTGGGAGTCCACCTATGTGGAGAGTCGACTGTATGCATTAATCTACACCCTATTATATATAGGACTTGAGCATATGTAGATTTTCTACCCACTCAGGGCCCTGGAACCAATCCCCTTGGGTCCCAAGGGACAACTTAAATTTGGGGGTTTTCACAAGTTACACGTGGATTTTCAACTGTATGGGGGGAAGGTGGGTCAGTGCCTCTGACTTCTGTGTTCAAGGGTCAACTGTATTTATTTTTTGTCTGAAAATGTAATCACCTTATTTGGCTTTTTTTCTGATTTGAGCTACAACCAATATTTTTTTAAAAGGAGTGTGTTTATTTGTAGGTGCAAGCCAGTTATGATGCTTCACGCTATGAAAATATTTTCTCCCTCTTTTGGGTTCTGGAGCAGCTTCTTCAAAAGGAAAATGAAGAAGGCAGTACTTTGAGTTTGGGGCATGATGATCAAGAAATCAAGAAGTTTCTTCAGAAGCATGATGATGCTGTTTTGCAACTCTCTGATACATTTCCTTTATTTACTTTTTATTTATGGAGATTGGGCATTCTCTTGAACTCCATAGAAATAAAAACTGTTGAAAATAACTCACTTCCTTAGCAATTTACCAAATATATGAAACATACAAAAGTTGAATATATGAAGATCTTGTACTTAAAAGATTTTCAAGAATATTTTTAAATGAGCATTTTAAATGGATCTCTAAATATAATGATTAACTAAATTTAAGAGTCTTAACATGTGACAAATTATTATGAGTCATATTTCTTTCCTATAATCTGTCAGTATCAGCTATTCCCATGTGACTATATTTTATAATGTTATTCAATATAGGCCTCTTATTCTCTAAAATGGGTCATTAATTGTGCATGTCATAAAAGATATTTACTTTTAAAATATTTCCATGTAATAGATACTAAAAGGCAATGGAAGAGATCTTAAAAGTTTTATTGCTTCATCAACCCACCATTTAAAATAAGTGGTTATAAATTAGATTTTTAAAACTTTTTTCTTACACAGTTTCACTTATATCATTGTCTCTCTTAGAAGGGACTGCTGCAGGAGGGAAGTCGAACATTTGTAAAGGTAATTGCCTTTAATTTCCTATAATCAACAGATCTGTCAAATCCTTTTGAAAGTACTAATTAGTGGCTTAAATGCTCAGTTTGTTTTTTCAAAAAATGTTATTTTTGATTCTGTTAATTGGATATAATATTCCTGTTATTGTTAAAATGTAGTTTAAGTCGTGTGTAATAAGACATTAAGAAAATTTTCACAAATTATACCATCCAGAAATATACTTTATACTTACTAAAGGAATGTTTATACTTATTAAAAGTATTGGTTGAATTTTCCAGTTACACCATTTTTTTTACTTTATTTCAATTATTAAAATCATACCCAACTAGTTAAGTGAGCACATAGTATGTACTTTCCTATACCACAACTTAGGGCACAATAAACCCAAATTTGCTCCATAAGTTAATTACCATTCCCAAATGTCACGGATATTTTTTAAAATGTATATAAAATAATTATCTGTCAGTTATTTTTGGAATTATTTCTAACTTTATGGAAAAGAACAAGCCTTTTTTATAATACCGAGACTCACTGTATGTATCAGTCAGCGATTAGTATGTAGTGAACAACCACAAAATCTCAGTGACATAAAGCAGGAAGTAATTATTTCTCAGAGGTGTAGGCAGCACGTGGGGGTCAGCTCATCCAAACTGGGCCCTGCTGGGAAGCTCTGCTCAGGTTGCAGGTCCCACTGGCCTGGGCTCCTGATTGTAAACTGGGTTTTGGTCTCTGCCACATGGGCATGTTCTGGACCCCGAGTTGAGGGCAATGAAGACACTTTAACGAATGTGTAGCATTTGACCAGAGTAAGAACATCCTCAAACATTGATGCTTTCAAAGTGCAAAGCTCGCTCTAAAGGTGCGGTAGCCAGACTGCCAGGCCCCCGCGCCCAGTCCAGTGGGAGAGGAAACAAATGTGACCTTTTGTCCTTGGCTCTATAACTAGACATTGGTGACATTTTATGTAGGTCTTTCACAAACTGGTGCACCTTCCACTCTTACTTGTTGGCATAGATAAGGGCAGAATATTCCTGGATGAGAGGCAAGGCAAAAAGCTATTTACATTTCCAGATTTTTATGTACATTTGTAGATGTTTTAAAAATACTGGTGGTTCTAACTTAATGATAGTCTGGTTTCATTTATTCATCAATTATTAATCACCAGCTTTGTGTGCAAACCAATTATTTGCACATATAAAAATAAGCATATTGAGTTTTGTATTTTATCAGATTTGTAAAACAGCACTCTCTTTTAACAGTCAATATAATGACTCAACATCAATAGTTTGTATTTGCTGAAGATGATTAGAGTGGTAACATTGACCTCCTATTGAAAAAAGATACAGTATTTTATTATTATGGAAAGTCAATTCATTCTTTTTAAATTATTTATAGAATTGGACAACACTAAGTTCATCTGGTCAATGAACAGGCTACTCTGTTAAAAACTGTCAAAATCTTATGAGTATGACTGACTCTGGCTCTTTTTGTTTTGTTTTCATTTAATATGAAAGTCCTCTAAATAGTTTTAAGAATCCATCTATAATAATAATAGCGTAATATGCTAATTAGATCGTACATCCTTCTGGATGACCTTCCAGACGAAGCCAGGGCTGCAAGGGAAGCCTGGGTCCCAGGTGCCTGCCAACCGCCGGAGGAAAGCCTGGGTCCTGGGTGCCAGAGGAAGCCAGTGCCCGCAGCTGGGGGAAGGAAGACCTACTCTTGCATGAAGTTTGTGCATTGGGCCTCTAGTTACTAATAAGAAAGAAAACTTGTAAAAAGAAAATATGAGTCTAACACTCAAGACACTGAAATAATTCATAGATATATACTCTGAATTTATAAAATTCTCTTCTGATATTTTAATCTAATTTTGTTGTAGCTGCTTAACTGGTTGGTGAACTTATATTTTAGTTAATAGCTGTGTTTCATAGCCAATCCATTGGGGTATCAAGATTTGTAGATAAACATTAACCTCATTAAGTCTCTGATCTACATATAAAGCTGGTTTTCAAATGTGGTCCCCAGGCCCGCAGTATCAGCAACACTTGGGGACCTATTAGAACAACAAATTCTGGGGCCCCACCCAGATGTGCTTCAGAATCAGAAATGCTGGGATGAAGCCCAGAAATCTGTTTTATCAAGTGGTTTGAGAATCACTGTTCTAATCATTGTTTAAACTGAATAGGAGGACTTAATACATATAAAGTCATTCAGAAAGTAGAAATTCAATCATCCCAAATTACTTAACTAAATTACTTAACTTTCCCTGTGTGTGCCTTAAAATTCCAAAGGAGGATTTGGGGGAACTTAATTATTCATGATTAAGTTAAAATGAGTATTTAATTTACAAATATATCTGTCAATCATAATAACACTTAAAAATCAGCATCATTATACTTAGCTTTTAGTTCCACATTACTGCGAACTTCAGAGTTGCATAAGGACAGCGCCCCAGACGTGATAAGGGAACAGAGCTATCACTGCTTTGGGCTTTAACGTCTTAACTACTAAGACCTTTTCATGAATGATTAATGCTTGAGGAACAATAGATACACCAAACACTTAACCAGCAGGGAAAAGGATTTATTTGTTTTTTTCTTCTCTTCAAACACACACTCAATTCAACATCCATTTTGTAAAAAGAGTTCCAGATCTCTTGAAACTAATTCTAAAGTTTGAAAAAATTCTCCTTTCTTACCTTTTACTTCCTTATCTTTAAGGGGCGCCACCACAAGCAGGTGCTTTTTTTTCCTAATCAGCATGAAGGACATGGAGCAGACCCTGACACTGCCTGGCATGACCTTCCCCAGAACTCCAGAGCCAGGCCACTCCCCTGAGAAGAGTGACCACTGGACTTCAAATGTGTGGCTTTTCTCTTTCCACAATGGACCATGACCAAGAAGTGGAGCTCACCATAGATGACCAGGCACCTAATCTTGCAGCTAACAACGTCTAGATAGAGCACAAGAGACTGGGCTCTGCAATTATAAAACACACAGCAGAGCCAGAAGTAACTTTATGGAAATGTGAGGATATCTCTAAATCTAAATAAATATGCTGATATTATACCCATGTGAAAACAACACTACTACTAATTTCTGAAGCTAGTATGATCTTGGCTCATGAGGTTCTTTCCTTTTAAATAGACTCTTCCATATGTATCAGATAATCCAGTGCCTTGGCACCACCACTTTATTAAGGAAGGTAGAACACCCAGCATATTGAGCCCCCAGTATGTGCCGGGCAGTCCTCTACATTTATTGTTTTGCTTATACCTAACGGCCTTATGAGATATGTATATATTATCCCAGGGTAGATGAGGAAGCAAGAACAGAGCATGTAATTTGCCCATGGTCATAGGACTGGGAAAAAAAAATCAAAGTATTCAAACAGGTGAGAAGCAACAAAGGCAACAATGTGCACTCTCAGGACCCAGGTACCCATAGCTGTCATGTCCTAACTGCAAAAGTAGAAAGTGTAGAGAGTAAAGTTATCCTGACAGTAACACTCCAGTTTTCACTCTTTTTTAAAAGTTATTTTTAGACCTACGTTTCATGCCCTTGTGATAATGGTAATGGTGGGAAATTTATACTCCGTTGAGTAGAACTGGCTGATGGAAATATCCTGTGTGTGTGGAAGAATAAAAAGCTGCAGTATGATGCCAGAGGTTTCCAGTCGGTGGCATCTATTTAAATCAGTGGTTCTCAACCTTCCTAATGCCACGACCCTTTAATACAGTTCCTCATGTTGTGGTGACCCCCAACCATAAAATCATTTTTGTTGCTACTTCATAACTGTAATTTTGCTACTGTTATGAATTTCAATGTAAATATCTGATATGCAGGATGTATTTTCATTGTTACAGACTGAATATAATTAAAGCATAGTGATTCATCACAAAAACAATATGTCATTATATATGTGTTTTCCGATGGTCTTAGGCGACCCCTGTGAAAGGGTCGTTCGACCCCCAAAGGGGTCGTGACCCACAGGTTGAGAACCTCTTATTTAAATGAAACAGGTCTAAATCCTACTCTAGTATTTGATTCTTGTGTAAGCCAGTGCGAGTAACACTTCCTAAGGATAATGCAAGTTACGTCTTTCAAAATGCCAGAATCAAGATAAGACAATTGTATATGGATGAGAGTTAATTCATGAGCCTTAGACGTGGAAATAAATAATATATATGAAGCATAGTTTCTCTACACTAGCTTCAAAATAATACTTTTTAAGTGCAAAGAAAAAATATCTCTATTTCATTATTAGACTTGATCAGTATGATCCTGTTGACAGTATTTGACATTTCTAAACCATCTTATCAGGTAAAAAGAAATGTCTTTATTATCATGGGAACAAAAACATATAAATAAATAAATAAGTAAATAAAAATATTTCGGTGATATGTTCCCCCAGAAAACTTCAGGCAGCTCTTGTTTATGCATTTTCCTTTGATCTGGGGAGAAGAGATGTGAGACTTTTCCCTGCATTCTACCTTGTCAATCAACCCTCCAGTTCCC